ATTAAAATCATAATAGTTTCAAAAGCAAGATAAATAATAATAACTCTTCTAAATAATAACTGCCTTCTAGTTCTTAATAATAAACAATATTTTAATATCTTTCATCGGGAAAATCAAAACAATAATAATCTGCGCTGATCTTCAAAATTATCAAATAATCACAGAATTTTAATAGAAAAATTGCAAAAAAACTATAAAAAATCTAATTTTAAAGATCTTCGCAGTTTTACAAAAAAAAATCTGTACAATTTTTTAAAAAATTATAATCTTCACAATTTAACTAAGATATTTAAGTCTTTAAAATAGTTATAAATATATACTGGTATTTTTAATTCAATCTTGCTTTAATTTAGTATGTTAATCTAAGCCTTAAAAATAAAATATTCACAAGTATTTATTATCTAATTTTTATTTATTCACATTGGTTTCGTTTCTAACAAAAAAATTTATTAATTTAAGTCTTTAAAATAAGCTATTCAATAACCTTGGATTAGAAGAAGAGAAGAATTAGCAAAGACTTGGTCTGAGCTTTAGGGTCCTGAGTCTTGTCGTGGTTATTACAGAGTTTAGAATAAGTACTTTCTACTTATGTATATATATAATAGTTATATCTTGAGTAGTTGGTATAAGCATTTCCGCTTATACACATAGTATCTAGGGTATAACTGATTTATACCCTGCGATTTTAATATAGTGACCAGAGTATAATTAATTATAGATAAGTTTCTCTATTATGCATTCTACTAATCTATTGTATTCTCTCTTTTAGGTTATATTTTTATATCGTGAACACATCTTCACGATCTCGTACATATCCCTTCACCATTTCACCTAAATCGTTTATTAATTTCCTTAAATTCCAACTCACATTTCTTAAACTTTATTAAGGATTGCATCTATTTCCGCCTTATATATGCAACGATTGCATATTATCGTCCTAAATATATATGTGACCAAAACCTTTCGGCTATTTCAGCCACGTGGCAAATGATTAAAGCAAAGTTTTCGATAATTTGTAAATATGGTAAAAATTAGGCTTCATATATATTAAGCCAGATCAGCAAAAACTTATGCAAGGTCTTTTGGTATTTCGGCAAGATCTTTTGGTATTTCAGCAGACTTTGAAATTTTCAGCAATCTTACTTAATATATAGCTGAAACTTCCAGAGTCTGCTGAAATACCAAAAGGTCTTGCTGAAATACCAAAAGATCTTGCATAGGTTTTTGCGGATCTGGCTTAACATATATGAAGCCTAATTTTTATCATATTTACAAATTATCGAAAACTTTGCTTTAATTATTTGCCACATGGCCGAAATGGCCGAAAGGTTTCAGTCACATGTATAGTCCTAAATCCGTCTATCTCTAATTGTTTTCCTGTTATAATTAAATCGTTATTATTACAATAAATACTTTTAACTATCCTGATTTATCCCAGCAACATATAAACTGACGCTCTCCCAACAAGATAGTTACAATAGTATGCAGATTTTATGAATAAAAATTAAATCTACCAGTGATCTGGTAACTCGATTTGAATAGAATTTTTTTTTATTAGTTATTTCATAGAACCTAGCAAATTCAATAAAATAAAAAAGTTTATTCAAATTGGATTACTGGATTGCTAGCAAATTTAATTTTTATTTATAAATTCGCATAGCCTCGGGAAGTCATTTTCCTAGCAAAGATCCCAAGTATTTACAGTGTGCAGCAATTAACACTAGTCAAAATTAAAAAATTCGACATGTTGAATAACACAATTCGAATACCATTCAACATGCCTTTCAACTTGTCATTCGAACTATTACATAATTTAGCGGACATGAATGTTCGTAAAAAATATCAAATGACAAGTCGAAAGACATGTTGAATGGTATTTGAATTGTGCCATTCATTATGTAATTATGAAACTGGCATATTTGTATTAGAGGTTATGTTAACTTCAGGATTTTATTAGCGAATTATTAATATGCCACATATTAGGATATCTTTTATAATTCCTTATAATTAAATTTTTGACTGGTTAATTAATTAATAAATAAATTATAGAGTACTAATTAAAATAAGTTTTATTATTTTCACTTTTTTGCTGATTCTAATTAATAAAAATTCGCTACTTGATTAGCTCTTTGTTACATAATTATATACTGCCTAGACCACCTGGGCTTTGGGCCGTGCCTAGCTTAAATTCAAATCCAGCTCGGCCTATACTATTAATTATTTTTTTTAGCAAGCTGGGTTTGGGTTTGGGTTTAGGCAGGCCCGGCCCATTCTGCTCCCTAGATTTAATGTTCTTTTACTTAAAGAAAAAAAAAAAATTTTTTTTAAATACTACGCTCAATTAATAAAATACTGATCTGTTTATGATTTATTCAACATAAGTTTGTTATTCTCTCTATAGAAATCATCTTTAAATTCAAGTGCTCTACTCTGTAATTCTTTTTGAGTTCATATCAAAAAATACTAAAATTTTCGAATATATATATTTTATTTCGCACTTTAACATACTACTAGAAATTAAATTATTTTGTTAATATATTATTAAAAATTAAATTATTTCTACTTTAGCATAGTATACTAAAATTATTTCCACTTTAACATACTACTAAAAATTAATTTATCTCGCACTTTAACATACTACTATATTGTCGCTCGTTCTGCTCTATTATTAATTGGTTTTTGTAATAGTCAACTATACAGGCCAAATCAAGCTAATAACTTTCTTATTAAGAGATATAAATTATGCGATTTTTAGTTAATTTGGTTTAATCACATAATTTTCATGTCCCTGATGCATGAGTTTGAGCAAGTTTCATTGCCAATTAATAACTATTAGAACAGTAGAACAGATTAATGTATTCAAATAATACATAAATTAATTAGTTAATTATATTGACAAAATCTTTATTATATTAATCTAATAGGAGTTTACAAGTAGGTTTAATTAGTTGACCGAACCCAACTATAGTTTCCCCCGAATCACGTAATTATTGATTTTCGCATAAGCCCGAGAAAGTGCAATAAAGATCTCTAGATATGCTTCGTACACATAAATAATCTACATAGATCTTAACAGAGACAATGATTAATCTCTCAAGATTAATTCATCTAAATAGCTAATTCTAGACCTTAATCATAAGTTAACCTCAATATTTTTATTCTGATTAATTTCTAAAGTCTTCATCGTGGATAATCTTTAAGCATAGTTAATCTCTAAAGATTATTTTTATCGCACGATTAATCTCTAAAAATTTTTATTGCAGATAATCTTTCAAGTATAATTAATCCATAAATATTATTTTTATTACATGGCTAAACAAAAAACTATTTAATCGCATGCTAACAGATTATTTTCATCACCAAAAAAATGACAAAGTATCGTTGTAAAGTCTGTAAAAGAACATTCTCAACTCCCAATGGATTAATACAGCATGTCAATGCTATGCATCAAGGAAAGTCAATAATTCCTTCTATCCAGCAAATACCTCAACAATCACAGCACTCGCAAGGCCCACAAGAAATATCAATACCAGAGCATGATGAAGATTTGTGGGGCACACCTATTATGAGGGTGTCAGAGTCTCTAATTTTTTCAACAACTTATGTACAAAACCTCGTGGAAATGGAAGACATAGTAGTATTTGAGAAAGAAAATATTAGTGAAGGTATTATAAGCAGTATGGATATTAATACATTACCGCAAAATGAGCTACATTATTTTCTTTAAAACTTATCAAATAAAATAGATCTAAACAGAGATCAAGAAATAACTGAAAATACATCAGATAAAGAATCACTAGTAAACTTCAAAAGTAATGACTTCGATCCTGAAGACCTTCAAGGAGCAACACTAAGTGATGCTTTAGATTCTATTGAAGGAATGAATAAACCAGAACATATAGCAGAATGGCCAAATGACATCTACCACGATTTTATGGAATTAATAGTGGAGAATAATATCTCTAACAATATCGGCGATAAAATAATCAAGTTTTTCAATAAGCATAGTAATTTGGAAGTATCACCATTACCAAAATCAACTAAAAATGGTAAAGATTACTTAAATCAAATAAAATCTCCTTCGATAAACTTTAAAACCAAAGTAGTTGCGACGTATTCTAGAAACAACATAATACTCTATTATCGTCCAATATTTAGAGCAATTCAAGCTCTTTTACAACGACCAGATATAAATGATAATATTGTTCTCAAAGGAATTCTAAAAAAGGTTAGATAAAATCAATTATATAATATTTGGTCTTATTCGTGAACTCCATTTTTCAAATTAAATAGTATTGTGAGTACTAAGGGTATTATATTTGGATATAATTTATATGAATGTAATAAATCTATATATCAGTAGTTATATCCCAAGCTTTTCAGGTCTAGACTGGTAAGGTAGTAGATAATACCCAGGCCTTAATATAAATATTATTTGGAGGATACTATATGCAATGGCCAACGGTATTAAAGAGTTAATAAAATTCTTAATAAATTTTGTTAATTATATTTCTCAGAACGATAATAGTGAGAGAGTTTTTGGAGAACCATACGAGAGGAATTGGTGGCTTGAAACAGAAAAAACTCTTCCACTATTGAACTACCTACTATCAATTATCCTTTACTCTGATGCTACCACGTTTGATGGCTTTGGCAAGACTTCAGGACATCCGATATTTCTAACACTTGGAAACCTTCCAAATTGGGTTCGAAATTCGCCAAACTCCAAAGTTCTTTTAGGATTTTTGCCTAATATTAAAAACACAGAAATTAAAACTACTGAGGCCTTCCGAAATACACAACACAAAATATATCATAAATGCTTACAAATAATACTCCATCCTTTGTTAGAAAAATCCAATACTCTATATTTTGGAATTAGGGGACAGCCAGTAACTTTTGCTGCACGTATTTCATTTTTCATCTCAGATATGTTAGAAGCTGATGAGGTAACAGCAACATATAAAGCAGCACGGTGTAATATGCCATGCCATACCTGTATGGTTCTGCAGAATGACTTAAATCAAATGAATCTTGAGTTAGAGAAAATGCTTCCTAGAACCCCAGAGAATATGCAGCAGGTTATAATAGAAGGACATGGCAAAGATTTTTCTATCCATAATATAGAAAACGCCTTTTGGAACTTTCTGTAAGCATTTAAATTATCAGACTTTTTTATCAGAAACTTGAATCTTCTAGTGCGCAGTAACTACATAGTAACTATGCATATTAAGATGTAAAGTTAATGATTATTTCTATTTCTTTAAAAAACTTAAAATTAATGACTTTTCCAGAAATATAAATATTTATGAAGCTTGCGTTCCTGATCGTATGCACCATATTGATCTCGGTCTCTTTAAATACCAATTGGACTTTACCTTAGAAATTCTAAAGGAAGTCGGAGGAACAGGATTGCAAAAAAAGTTCAATGACCACCTTTGTCAAATTCCTCGCTTTACTGGCCTTAAATTATTCAGTAATTTAGAACATATAAAAGTAATGATTACAGCAGACCACCGTTATATAATGAAAATCATCCTTTTTGCCTTAGACGATATCTTCAATAAGTAGAATGAAATAAGTTGCAATGAACTTTGCAAGCTTTATACAAAGTTTAGCAAAATGTATATTATAAGCAGGCAAGAGTCGTATACTGAAAAAGACTTAGAAAAATTTGAGGTAACACTAAAGAATTAAACAATTAGAATGGCATACTTCGAATGCACTATTCAAAAATATCATGTAATTATATAATGAATGATAGCATTTGAACTGTGCTATTCAATACGTTAAATTCTCTAATTTTGGCCAGCAGATACAAATTAAATAAGAATTTTACCAATTGAAACAGGAAGCAATTATCGATTGGTGTGAAGAGTTCAAGAGAATCTTTTCTCCGTTATCTAGCACAAATTGCAGTTTCCCTAAGTTGCACAGTTGGAGATATTATACTGGTATTTTTTTTTTTTTTTAAACATTGAAATATAATTTTTGTTCTACTTATAAATAAATTTTTTTTTTGTTAAAAAAAAAAAAAATTAAGTTACTGTAATTCAAAAGTATGGAGCACTGAATGGTCTATCGACAGAAACCTATAAAACACTTCACAAAATTTATGTTAAAAACCGATACCGATCTTCAAATAGAAAAAAAATAAAGCAGCAGTTAAAAAAAGCAGATAGTTATAAATTTTAATAAGCTAAAAAAATTTTTTTTAAAAAAAAACTCAACCTCCAATCTTACAGGTAAAACGCAAAGAAATAATACCAACGGTCAATAAAATAATTCATCGAAAGACTGAAGGGTTTGGAAAAATACTTTGGGATCTAAACCTGGATGAAATTGAATCAAAGGTAACACTTTTAAAAAAGTTAAAGAATCTACTACACCCTAAATTAGTTGAAGGATTATCACAAATAATTTCTGCATTGGATACCTTTTTGGATACTTCATTGCAAGACTCTGAAAGTAATGAATATTGCATTATAGTATATGAAGCTATTTACTTAGACAGTGGTGAAATTTTATGAACTTCAGGAGATTTCCAGGGCAAAGAGTGGTTTAGTAATGTTTCAGTTACTCCTGCAAAAGACCAAAAAGAATCAGCTGATGGTTTATGGTATGGAAAGGTAAATAATAATTGTTACCCTTAGATAAAAATTTTATTTCATGAATATTTAGTGCAAGTCATACTTTTTACAGATATTGCTCATTCTAAAATTCTTCCGAAGCTTGTTAAAAGAGCCATATGAACTTGCATTAGTTCACTGGTATGATATTCTGTCACAAGAACCTGAACTTTATAGTTGTTCGCAATTATATTATTCTGAAGAATACGATATTATCTCTATTGGATGCATCATCCAAGAAGTACATATTGTGCCAAGATTTGATAAAGAGAATTGTTTTTTGCTAAACCAATACATGTTCTAAATTTTGTAAAAAATAAATAAATTCTATTATCATATAAATCCAAAAT